GCATTCAATTGTTAGTGGTTGTGTTATCTAAATTCTATAAAGCCTAATTTTATTAAATGAGATATAACCACTTTAAATGTAGAACCCCAGTGGGTAGAAAAGGGTGATGTCGAGAGTACTGGATTTATTAATATCAAAATACTAATAACAAGAAATGAAAAGTAATTATGCGAAAATAAAAACTATCATAAACAAACAAAAATTTCTGATTTCTTTGACAAAAAAATGGTACCTATTTCATTTCTGTATTGTGCATCTGTATGTTTGTTTTATTTTGTTCATCATGCATAGATTTTTATTAGGTTGGTACACACATATTGCATTAGGGTGACCCAAAAAAAACGAATATTTTTTTTCGAGTCTCCTATGAAAATATATATTAACCTCCTCCATAGGATATTCTAGCGAGCACGAGTGTGTTTATGTGCGATCGGGCACACGTGTGCGTGAACGGCTTATCGATTCGCCGACTAGCCGCGGGCGCCTTTCTTCATGTGCGCCGTATTTGTAAATGTGTGTGTCGTACCTGCATTCTGAGAAAGCAGTTAAACAGTCCAAAGAAAAAATAAACTATCCGGACGATTCCAGAAGGTTCCTGAAAGTAAACAAAAGAGTATTTAAAGGAAGAGACGATCGCCGAGAGGAAAGAAGTAAATTGACCGTTGCAAAAGCAAGTCGCGAAATAAATTGGCAGTGATAGCAGTGAAATAAATAGCGCAGTGAATAGTGATATATCAACAGTAGAGTAAATAAATAGAATAATTCATAACCTAAGTTTAGTAATAATTTAATAGTGTTTTTAAGTTGTTTAATAATTAGTGTAAATAAATAGTTTTTGTCGTTATCAGTCTTAAAAGTTAATTTTGTTAAACCCACGAACATCACATTATCTCAAAAAAAATTTAAGAAGTCGCTCAAAACAAAAGTTTTTATTTTCTTTTCTCGTTGTTTTGCTATTTTCTAGGATACAAATGATAAAGGTTCTGAAAATTTCAGGTCGATATATTGATATTTAAAGGTCGCTCAAGAATTTTTTAAATTTCCAGGCAGCGATCTTTTCGAGCGACATCTGAACATGAATACTAACTGCCTTTTTATTTATTTTTTCTACTAAAATCGTCGCAACATTGTCTTGCGTCTCTCTTGCCTTGTTTCTATTTTTTAGTATGTTAACTTTAAGAAAAAAAAAATAAAAAGGTCGTTAATATTCATGTTCAGATATCGCCCGAAAAGATCTCTACTTGAAAATTAAAAAGAAATCAATACATCGACTGGAAATTTTCAGAATATTTATCATTTTGATTGTAGAAAATAGTAAAACAACGAGAACTGAAAATAAAAAAAGCGAATTTCGACGATTTTGGAAATTTTTAAAATTTTTCAGCGCTCTTAAAATTTTTTTTTGAGATATTCTTTGGAGGCGGCTCTTAAAACACGATAAACTAACGTATTTTCAAAGGGGACTCGAAAAAAAATCACCCTAAAGTACACATCATTCGTTAACATAAGCAAATCGATAATGTGAACTGCTTTTTGTTTTTTTCTGTTCACATTATCGAGAGTCTGCTTTACATACATGCTGTGCTCAAAGATTGGCGAACTATTTAGGATTTAATATTATTTGCTAATGTATAGAACAGAAATGCGTGGGAAGTACGCAGCATCACTTCCGGTAGAGACCAAACGACACATTTCCGTTTACGGAGATACTTATATTAATTTTTATAGACAATGCATAGATCTAGTTACGTATGTATTTAACACGTACTAAGTGTTTAAATATGCCCGCATAATTGTTGTATTGAATACATACGAGATCCGTTCAAAAAGTATCGCGAATTTTGAATTTCCGCTGGTTACGTATATTCGATTTTTTATGGTGTAATGTTAGTATTCATGTTTCTCACTTATACCGACAAGTTCGGCCATGTTGAATGTTCAGTTAATTTTTAACAGCTGCATTACTTAAACGAGTTTTTGGCCCGCCTTTGATTTTTGTCTATTCCAAACAATGGATCAAAGAATCTGTATCAAATTTTGCGTGAAAAACAAAATTAAGTGCGCGGACGCATTCCGAATGTTGACAGTGGGATATGGTGAAGCTACCTTGGACCGAAACAACGCTCATCGGTGGTACAAGATGTTTTCAGATGGTCGAGAAGGTGTGAACGGCGAAGAGCGTGGCCAACTCCCGAGCACGTCAACAACAGACGAAAACATTGATGAAGTGAAGAATAGTATTGGCCAATCGTCGAATCACCGTTAGAGAAGTTGTTGAGGACCTAAACATATCGATTGGCTCCTGCCATTCGATTTTTATCAATGATTTGGGCATGAGACGGATCGCCGGAAAATTCGTACCAAAATTGCTCGACGAAAAACAACATCGTATTAACATTTCTAAGAAGCTGAGAAAAATTCATTTGCTCAAATTGCTCAATTCCGACCAAAAGCAGCATCGCTAAGGAGCTGTTGGACTCTGTCCGCGACTACCCAAATTTGCTCCAGAGGGTCATAACTGGTGACCAATCATGGGTTTACGGTTATGACGTGGAAACCAAAGCTCAATCATCCCAATGGAAGCTGCCCCACGAGCCAAGACTGAAAAAGCGCATCAAGTTAAATCGAATGTGAAGGTTTTGCTTACAGTTTTCTTGGATTGCAGGGGCGTGTTCCATCATGAGTTCTTGCCACAGAGTAGAACGGTCAATAACGAATATTTGCGTGAAGCAATCCGCCAGAAACGCCCGAATTTGTGGAAGAACAAAAATTGGCTTTTGAACCATGATAACGCCCTTGCTCGCAAATCGTTGCTTGTGCGCGATTTTTTTGCCAAAACAACACACTAATAATGTCGCAGCCACCGTATTTCCCAGATCTGGCCCCCTGTGACCTTTTCTTGTTCCCGAAATTGAAGAGGCTCATGAAAGGACGACGCTACGCTACGATTGAGGAGATAAAGACAGCATCGAAGGAGGAGTTGAACAAAATCACAAAAAATGATTATTTGAAATGCTTCGAGGATTGGAAGAAACGTTGGCATAAGTGTATAATTCGGGTGGCGACAACTTTGAAGTGGGCAAAATAGATATTCATGAATAAATACGTAATTTTTGAAAAAACACATAATTCGCGATACTTTTTGAACAGACCTCGTACTTACAGGGAGGCACACATAGGTACCCAACAGGCCACTCCTATTTACGGACGATTCGTCTAATTATAAAACAAAATTTAAAATGCATTGTTTAGGTATTACATAGGAACGACAGTTTTCTAAATAAGTGACAATTAAACTTGCCAGAAGGACTATTGCACATGCAGTATGTGTAATCGTATCATATACCTACTGCATTTGACCTAGGTATGTGTATAATAGTGGGCACATTACTTTACCTATATATTTACATACAAACATACACATGTGTATATTAAGATTAATTATTACACAATAACGTCGATACACGGCACATCCTTGTTTAAATGCAAAATATTATACGTACACACGTCTGCACACACATATGTTGTAATGTATACGTATTAACAAACATATTATTCGTATGAAGATAGCACATGTAAAACGAATACATGCCACGACAGGAAGTGCACAAGTGTTAACGAACTGGATTCAATTCGAACAGAGGTTACACTTTAGCACTTACCACAATCTCCGTGTGTGGATCGTGTATGTCTGTACGATATACACATGTAATTTACAATAGTCTTTCATGTGAATTAATTAAAAATTATGGACGCAATTCTTAATCAGGCAACCTCTACTTTTATCGTCCCACAAGCCTTTTACATCGAATCTACACGTGTGGGCACTAATTGTCCTTCCATATTACAACATGAAAAACTTACTTTTCGCAAATTTCAAAATCATTTCCTAGATATTGGGATCCGTCAAATGGGCATACACCATCTGGTGGCAAAATTTATAACTCGAATGAGGGAAAAATTTACATAGGAACTGTGCACGCAAATTGTAAAATTGTTTATTAAAATAATAAAACACGTTAAAAAAGTAAAAATTTTTTTGATGATGGAGTCGACGAAGTTTTCTTCTAAAGTTAAATCAAATAAAAAGTTAATATGTTCAGTGAAAAGCTGCAATAGCACTTCAGACATAGATCTTCACTCTTCACCTACATTAACTACTTTCCAATAAAAACTAACCGTTTTATATATGTAAAAAATATATTCGGAAAATTAGAGAAAAAAGTAAACTAATAGAAGCTTGGATGAAAGCAGTAGGTATCAAAGAAGTGAATTCCGGAATAAAAATTTGTTCACGTCATTTTAATGCACATGATTATATTTCAGCAAGTATTTACCATCAGCCATAACCTTAATATTTAAAACTAGAATCATACTAAAATTATAAAGTGAGAAATTATTTATTCCTGTGTAATTGATTTAACACAATTCTAATGATACGATATAAGTATTTTGAGGTTAAGAACCTACCTGCTGCAATACAACAAAGTTGCAATAATGTGTTTGCAACGTTCTCTTAAATCGGCTTTGCACGTGCAAGTCATTGATATGATATTGCTTAAATCACCCAGAATCACCTCACCAATTATATAACGTGAATCACTTTTTAAATCCGAAGTTTGTAAAAAGTAGGCAGTAAACTTGACGGAATTTGAAGGCTAGCTTCCGGATTTGTTATTTCCGAATTTTATAATGTGATTGGCATTAAAAACACGCTCACCTTCAACGAAATTTCCTTTCCGAGGCTTTGTGTCAGCCCAATCACATATTGTGTCAATACTTATCATTTTATCGTAATTTAAAAACTTGGAAATTGCACGGTACACTATAGGAATTACGATAAATTTTCCCTAATCGGCGCCATGTTTTTAGGCTCCTCCCATTTGATGGATCCCAATAACAACAGCATAATGATTACGAATATGCTGTAACTATAAATATGAAATACACGTTTAATGCTATTAAGTAGTTGGTATTGAATTATCACAATTTTCTTGCAGGTGTCAGCAGGTCAGCACCTACAATTGACAGGGGACATAAAGGGTACTGTAACAGTAGCTGCCCAACAAGGTCTCTACTTTAGCCAGCAGGCCCAAAGCCAAAATGGCCCCGGAGCAATGGGCCAGAACGCACAACAAAACGCTCAACAAAATCACCACAGCTCAAACACAGCCGGCCAGCAGGCATCTGCCCAGCAACAACAACAGCAATCGTCCAATATGGGTGCACAACCCGGTATGACTAACCAAGCGAACTTGGGTAACCAGCACACAATGGGCGGCATGTCTGCCCAGCAACAGACACCGACACACATGGGACAAAACATGGGCAATTCTAACATTAATCAACAGCAACAAAATTCACCTTACTCGAATAACATAACAAACAGCAACCCAGGAAATATGAGTGGTGGAATGCACAATAACAGTAACGTCAATAGTAATTCTGCTATGTCGAATCAAGCAAACATGTCATCTCAGGGTGGCATGCCAGTGTCCACGTGTCCTGGTGGACTAGGACTGGGAACGATGGGAGATGGTTTTTCCATGTCACAAAGTCAAACTATCAATTTTACACAGCAGACGCTTCGCCAAAGAGCAGCAGCAGCAAACGGTAAGAAAAAACTGTCCATTTGTCATATAATTAAAGTAGGTGCATATTAAAGAAGTTGCATTAACAAATAAAACATATTTAATTTCAAAGGAATGTCAAACCAAATGGGTCCCAGTGGTCAGGTGTGTCCAACACCCAATGTGACAAATATGGGCTCTAGGCATTTAAGTCCACAAATGATCGAACATCAAAAACTGCTTCAACAACAGCAACAACAACAACAACAGCTTCTTCGTAATCAACAGGTTGCCATGCAACAGCAACAGATGCTTAGACCGCCGCCTCCCGACTACAAAACAAGTGCCACATTAATGCAAGGCCTGCAAAATAGATATCCCTCAAGTTTACCAGGCATTAGACGAATGCCTCAACCAATGCCACCTTCAGGTATATTACTTCATTACAAGGTCATCAATATGACGACTGATTCGACACGCACATCCTTTTCTATGTCTGCTTCAAATAAGTCTCTCACTATCCTTTCGTGTTTCAGAAGGCGTCCTCCGTCCTACCTGTCATTAGCTCTCATAGCGGCATGATCTCGCACTTTTTCCAAAACCTCTTCATTTTTAACCTTTCCTTCATCCACCCATAACTCCACTCAAATGGTAGTAAATTCCCCCTTCCGCGTTTATTCTTCATTTTATGTCTTTCCCACTTTTTCCTCCCTAAATATTGAGAATCGGCGATTTCTACCTTTTATATTTTATTATATTTTCCACCTCTTTTGCATACCAACATTTTTAATTTACTTTTATACCATACTCTTCTATCGATACCGTTTGTCATTGAAGAGAAAATTGAAATGAATACTAACAGTACCTAACTTAGCTTCTACATTTCTAGGACCAATGATTCGACCTCAGAATATGTATATGTTACAACAGCAACAGCACATGTCAGCTAGAGGTATCTATCCAAGACAACAAGCACCCATGGGCAACTCAGAACCTCTGTCCCAGCACAGTAACGCAGAATGGAGACAAATACTCATGTCACAACAACAAAATGCAAATCTGAATCCTCAAATGCGATCAAACTTCCAACACCAAGGTATTTTAAATTTCCCCAAAGTATACCTTCATTTTTTTAATCCTAATGTATCTTCCATAAGGGTTCAACATGAACATGGGTAACATTCAAGTGTCGAACTTGCAACAACAGCAACAGATGCGAGCGCAGCAAATAATGGTATCGAGTGGTAATATGGGACCAAACCAGCACCCAATAAACCAAGTACAAGCGAATCAAGGGGGACCGTTGTCCCAGATGACCAGTATGAACCAGCAAATGCTCAATCAAATACATCAGCATCAAAGTATGATGCAGCAGAATGCCAATAATCAGGTAAGTCAATATTTTTATTATCGGTGCCTAGTTTTAATTGTACATTGTACAATATAGATGCACGTTATTTATCCCTAATCATAAGTTAATAGTAAGGTTTTCTTCTTAGCTTTCAGTAACGAATATGAGCTTGCAGCAATCACAGTCGTTATCGTTATCCTCAACTCAAAGCCTGCAACAGTCTCACATGCTACAAAATGCTCAAAATCAACTTACCAACAGTCATTCAAGTAACAATCATTCTGCTAATTCGTTAGGAAACTTTGGCTCATCTAACGACTTTAATCTTGACTTTTTGGAAAATTTATCTGCAACCGATTCCGGATTTACAGACCAAGAGCTGTTGAGCAGCTTCGATAACGATTCCGGATTTAATTTCCAAGACATATTGTAAAGTATGATTCTTTTTTGGTTAAACTATACCTTATTAATATTGTTATATACATATGTATACATTTATATTTATTGAGAAATTTAACGTTTCAGTTTCTGTTTTATGTTACATATTTCTTTTATTAATTTTTAATGAATATTGGTATTTTTTTTTGTTGTAGAGGTAGAAATTTAATTTTTACAAATCCACATTTTTCGTAAGTGATCTCTGTCAATATTATTTTGTTTTTGTATTGTACCACTGGTATTTAGACCATTCTGTATTCATTTACTGGAATTGTATTCCATCACTAAATTATTACAATTAAATATATATCAAACGTTCCAAGAGCTGGCTTCAGACATTAAGGGATTATTTATTTTCCTTACGTTAAAGAATTTTGTTATTTATTTAATTTTATGTCTATAGCGAGTTTAAAAGTACAGTTTTCAGAGTACGGTATTTTTATAAATTATTCTAAGAATACAATTTTACTTTTTTACAATACAAACATTCCAGATGTACAAATACATCAACTCGTAAAAACAAGTTCTTTCTCATTAATCTTTATGATGAAACATATTTAATTTCTGTGTATAATTTATTGTAAAACTGTCAAAGCTAGCTCTTGACTTGTATTATAATAAATAATATAAATATTAAAAAAATGTTTCGTAAACAGAACAATCGTTAATGTATAATTCACTGCCAGCATTAGAGTAAGAAAGTGCCGTGAGAATTAAAATAAAAATCAAAACTTAATTTGCGGGTGTATATTATTTGTACACCTTTAGAATGCATTTAATAGTAATTGTGCCACTTATTGTTTTATAAAATGTTCCAACCGATTATAATAATTCACCTGTAATAGTTAAAATGCTTCCTTACTTTCATTTAAGGTTTCTAAATCCGGGAACCGAACAGATATTTGGGACTTTGGTGTCAAATTTCAAGTTCGGTGTTAGTCCCAAAAATGGTCCCAAAATCGATATAATATTTCTTTACATATTTTTCTTGACAAAGATAATAAGATAAGAGTGTTGTTGTATTTTTGTTTAAATTTTGGTAGAAAATTAGAGAAAAAAAATAAGAAACTAAATGCATTAAGTACAATCAAAGTAAGTAACTAGAGCAACATTGATTATTCAAAAAAAATATTAAACATTATTTTACACTAAAGTAAAACCTAATGCACCAATTTGTTCGGGTTTGGTGTGTTCATGATGTAATAATAAATTATTGAGACAAGGTTTTGGGACTATTTCTGAAGTTCCAGGACCTCATTTTTTGGGTAAAATACTGAGACTGAAATCTCACTTTCAGTAAGTAATTTATAAAAAACTTTTTTTAGAGCGCTTTCAACATGACTAAAATAGTATCATAAACATTTATTTGTGTTAGACTACCATTCATATTTTTGTATGATTCATGATGTATGTTTGTAATCCTCTAGGATACTTATACAGGAGATTATTTGTTTTGCTAAAGTGGGTTCTTATGACAAAAATGTTGGTAATTCTAATTAAATACCATTTTCGGTATATTTCTTACACTTTAATTTCTGTAATATTTTTAGTGGTTTCCAAAAAGAAAATTTTGTACAAATTAATCTACATAAGTACATAGAGTATACAGGCAATAAGCAAATAAAAAACTTCCAATCAAATGTATGTCCCTAACTAATAATAGCAGTGTTATTTACAGTATTTCGTAAACTGTACTAAAGTAAACAACATCCAGTATTTTCAAAAAGTTTTCGAAATCTTATTTTATAAAGCTTTAGAACTACCTAGCACAGGATATAGCTACTTTACTTTATTGTGATAAACAATATCAAAAATGGATTAGCAAATTTTGTTTGTTTTTTTTTCTGACATTTCACTTTCATTTTGTTATTGTAAATAAGCCATGTTCATAACTGGTGTTTATATTAGCAATGTATTAAGTGTTTCTTTACAAATTACAAAATTTGCTAGTCCTATGCATAAGAATAAAAAACTACTTGAAGTATCTTGTCGACATTATACAATGTAATTACAGATTTTTTATTTTGTTAAAAAAAGATTTTTGTTATTAAATAACAATACTATGTAAATAAAATATAGTTAATTTTACCACTAGTTTGTTGTAATGATATGATAGATCGTTTTCTTTGGTAGACATTTCGTAAAGTAAAAAGACTTTACAAAAAATAGAGCAATAGGGTGATTTGTCCGCATGGGATGCGAACGTCATCGTGTTATAAACAAAAATATACATACATACTTATAAGGCATACCTAAATACATATATTAAAAATAAAAGTATTTCATTTTTATGAGTTTTACTTTACTGAAGAATGTTCCGGTCAGGTACCTATTTATTCCTCACGTCTTAAAAATTTTCAAACAAACAATTCCGAAAAGTAATTATAAATTAGTAGTAATTTCTGAATTAATGGCACTATTTTCTAGATAAATTACTAACTGTAATGACGTTCCTTTTTCTAGTTTTAGTTTTGTTTGATTTTTGAAAGTGATAAAACTTACTGTTCAGTATTTATTTGTAACTTTAAATGAATAATTAATTGATTCATTTTTATGAAATTTAGAAGGGCATTACTTCAGCTATTACCAGAAGGATTTGTGTTTAAAAAATCAAGTCATGCAGTTAATAACTGCTTTTTTTAAACTCATATGCTATTAAAACACACATGATATTTTGAAAAAGGATTAATTACTTTGAAATTACTAGAACAATATAAAAAATTAGTCTTATTCTAGTATCTTCTCAGTTTGCTTTCAGAATCTTACAGAAAGAAAGTCGAATTGTTCTACAAAAATTACAAAACCCGCATAAAATCTTACAGAAACTAATATAAATATAACAATACCCTATTTAAAAATAACATTTACCTAAAAAAAAGTTGAACGTTTTTTTTTTTTAACAAAAATATCCGCAATCTAAAGCTACAACTTCGAAAATATATAAAGATCCAAAGTCGACCAATAAACAAATGTTTACAACCACTCGCTAGCCAATCAAAAATAAGAAAACACTCACGAAGACCAGGCGTGAATTTTAAATGTTATTATCACAATTAAAGATGTAGAAAATAAGTGATGAAAAGTGAATTAGTGCGGAGAAATTCTTTGGCATTTTTTCAAAATGTGTAAGTATAATTAGGATATTTTAATTCTTAGAAAATTAGTCTAAAAATAAAAATGTCAGATTTTGAAAAATAAAAATATTGATCGCTCACAAGAGTATAAGGTAGAAAAGGAAAAGTATTTACGTATGTAAGGGATAGTAGATGTTTACAATTTTGCAACCTACGCCTTTCAAACCGTAAACAAACACGTAGTTTGTTTTTGTTTTTAACCCAAATATCGATCAAATCCCGTCTGCTTTCCGAGTTTTTCTCAGCAGTTATTTACTGGAAGTGTAAGGAGTTGGTCGTTTATTTTGCTAATAGTGAAGAATTATAGTGAAGTACTAAAAAAACATGAGGTAATTATTACTGTTATACAATAATTCTAAAAGTAAGCTGGGTGTACAGACTGTTTTAAAGTTTTTCGCAACAACAAAAAGGACCTAGGTGCTATGTACTCTCAATACTAAATAAGTACCTATAATTTGTAATCCTTAAGAATATAAATGCTTCTGCAAACGGTTTGTCGGTCTGGAATATCGAAATAACTACCTGTTCAAGCTCATATGGTTATTTATAATCTACTAACGACCTTTAAAAAAATTTATCTGTCTGTCTGTACGTGCTAATCTTCAAAATCGAAACGGCGGGACTTCAAAAAGGGAAGAGATTGTCAGGAATGATGTAGACATAGATATTAGGATTTAGGTAGGCTATTTTGTCTTTTTTTTCGTTTGTTTTTTTAAGTAACGAAGTCGTGGATAAATCCTAGTCGAAAATATCCAACAGTATTCCAAATTAAATGCAATTTTCGATTGTACTTTCCAAGCAGATGTAAAACACCGACAGCCGCTTATTCTCGGAATCAATTTTGCAAGTTAAAACTTGCAGTAAACAGCAATTTGCTCGGAATGATAATTTGCAAATTCGCAAGTCACTTCGAAGTGACTCAGGAAATTTTCCTGGTACGAGAGGATTGCTATCGTTTCCGAACACGATTGGTTGACTATGACGTCATTAGAACCAACCCGGAGTTTCTAAAGCGAGACGGGAAAACGGGTCGAATGCGCTAGACAGAGACGCGAAAAACCCGTGGAAATGGAACGTTTTTAAACGACCTTCCCATGGCCGGAATCGACATTAACGTGACGCAAGTGGCGTAAAGTGGTGCAATAATATTATTTTGTGAACAAAATCGCAAAGAAAAGCTTTTTTCGAGTGTAAACGAAAAAAAAAGAGTTACAATTTACAAATTTATTAAGAAGGCGTCTATTGAACCAACTTTTATTGGCGAAAAGTGAAAATTAAACTTTTGAAGGTAGGCATTCGCTTGCAGTATGTTTCGTTTTTATGGCAATGTAGATACTTAAGTTTTTAACAGTAATCTATTCTGGTATAAATGAGTTAATTAAAAGAATACGTCGCTAGAGAAAAGTTATAATAAAAAAATAATAATTTCGTATAGTAATAGTTGCGGACTTAACAACGACCTTGATTATTTTACGTCATGAGCACGTGAGAGGTGCTTCACAAGATAACAGGAAATCTTTCAACTGGTGTATGGTCGATATGTTTTAAATTTTCTGTTAGTATTTCAATGCATGGGAGAAGTTATAGATACTTTCCCGAAAATTCTAGCAAATGCCAATTGTTTATAGAATGATGTAAGATTCCAGAATTTTCGAGAAATTTCGAAGACGACTAATTAGACCCAAATTGAAAATAAACGTAAATTTTTCTTCTGATTTAAATAATATCGTTTAGTAGGGTTAATTAAATATTTTGTAATTAACGTTTTTATGAATAGTCGCGCTGATGAAATAAGATAAATATCTCTTGCATTGACGCAGGCGCACAATATGTCTGTATAAAAGCAGCATTCCAGTGAAGTACCGATCTGTTTTACTTTTAGGTCGGGAGTCGTAAAAGCTGTTTTACTCTCCCAGTGGTGAACCCCTAAATAGCAAAATTTTTTATTCAGCCAGCAACAACTTCACAGATGTAAGTATTGTTTTTAACAGAGTTTGTGAGCTAAAATTTTTGAAAAAGTCACGAAATTGAAAGAGTTTCAGAAGTGATTATTATGTTGTTAAGGATAACTTTCTATTAAGGACTGTGCATAAACCATATGGCTGTGTAAGAAGCGAGGTCTAATAAAAGGCTATTCTGAATTATTTGTGGAAAGGGTTTATATAATGGAGTCTGTCTTTTTGTTATTAAAAAATGAAAATTTTTATTGAAGAAGGGGATCTAGGATATATGTCTTTGTTATATTAAGGGGGGGGGGGTCCAAGGATAAAACTAAGGTAGACCATGTGAGAGAGAAGTGTCCAAAAGTGGCTAAAATAGTTTATGCACAACCCCTTACCTATAGAACTTAACTAATTTTGTTTATTTTTTTCTTGTTTCTAAAAACAACATAATTAATACAAATTTGTTTTAGCCAATAGTTTACAGATATCCCCAAAAAATAAACTGGTGATTTTAACACATACATGCATTTTATTTTTCTTTTTGTTCGTAGATATTTAAAAATTATTACGCGATTAAAGGCAAATTCATTATTTAACTTAATTTGTGGTTTATGAGGGAGACGTTTATTATAAAAAAAACTGATGCACGGTTTATACTTTTCTCCCTGCCTTTATTGGTAATTTAAACTATACTTCTTAAATGTTACATAAATAAATTATTTGCCTTAAATTGTCGTATAATATCAACAATAGATCAGTAAATATGGTAAGACTCATCGGTTTTTGCAATCGTATTGCGTGAAAATATGATACAAGCATTAAGCATATTGGGTTATTAAGAACTACATAATTTGTTCTAGTTAAGAACCTAATATGTTTCCTAGTTATGATAAAAATCAGTAACAGGTTTTAATACATTTTTCTCTGTAATTTTTAAGGTCGAAAAAATCAACAGAACAGGTAATCAGTATGTTTTAACATATGTGGATATCTTCTAATGGTACGGGAAGGGGAAATTAATCAGCAAACAAGATAGCTCTGTAACTCTTTCCAGATTGGGCTATATGCATATAGAAAATGCTTACATAAGTACTGACAAAAAATGTTTTAATTTACCTATTTTTTTAGTTTATTGCACGATGGTCCGAAACGCTGTTGAATCCCTCTCATGTGCTTCGTGGCGAGAAATTGAAGAAGGATCGTATGACCTCTGCAAACCCTTATTTGCAAAATTGCGCACCTCTCGAGAAGTCCACCCATTGGGGCCAGTACAAAACAAAATACAACAGTGCCACCCAATTAAACGTTTCAGAAAAAACGTATCAAGTATGTATTGCAATGATGGGCAATTATTCAACTTGCCTTCACTGTAATAATATACTTGTACACTTTAAATAAACCTATTTAAATAATCATTTCAATAGCATATTTCAAAAATTTTGATTTTTTAAATGGTATGTAGCAAACCAGTGCGCCCATTTTAAAGTTAAAAATTGAATTGAGTATGGGTGCCTGGGCAAAAAGGAATAATGGTTTATTAACAGCAAGGGTATTGCAAAGATCATTTTAAATTGTTTTATTAAACTTTAACATTAGTTTTAATTCACATATTAATCAATTTTTCATTTTCAGCCGTATCAACCACATACAATGACGATCATCAACGATCAAACCAGTCCCCAAATAAGTCCCACATTACCAAATCTACAGTTAGATATGGAAATATTCTCCGATCTAAGTACATACTGCAAACAGCCAACAACTGTAACTACATCACAAAGTATACAAAACAGTCAGGATGAACTAAACACACCGGTATTTGGTAAGTTAAAATTTTTTATGAATCAAATAAATTTAACAATTCCTTCGTAAATTTGTTGGTGTCATTCTCATTTTCATATCCAAAATTTCTAACATTCTATTCTAATTATTATGCTACAATGCAGTGAGGGTCCATATGTATTGAATTTATTTTTAGGTTCTATTAAATATTTTGGGAACACTTCGTTCCTTTGATTGAGAAAAACAAAGAAGTTTTAAATGAAAGGTTCGTAGTTTTATTTAATTATGATTTATTTGTTTACTCAAGATAATGAAAGGTATAGTTGGTCTCATTTGAAATTTATTATCTAAAAATTTTTGCAGTTCCAGGAGCCTTTCTACTGAGGATGACACCGTTATTTTATGTACCTATAATGCTTATGATACCAATTCACAAACAAGTTTTAAATTCTTTTTTAATTTAAACTAACTTTAAAGACTTGTTTGTGTTAACTTGTATGTTTTACAGATTGTTCCAAATATTCTTGAAAAATGAGATCTTGCAATAATTTAACTAATCATTTTATAATATCTTTTCATCGATAATTTGGACAACTCTAAAATTCATGATTTACAATGACAAATGACGAATTCTAATTATAGTTCTTCTTCTTTTCAGAACATAAGGCGCCATTTGACTTTGATCGCCAAACAAATGTCGGTTCCGATAATACCATTCTGTCTATGGAGAATCCACATATTTGTAAAGTAAAACGTGAAATAAATGATCATGAAAACATCGTGCTTGTAAACGAAAATATTACGTATCCAGTCGGAGAACTAAGCGGTGTTGCAAATAATTTATTTTCTTATTGCACAAACACGTCTGCAAAAAGCTCCGACGATAATACTAGTATAGTAACCAACAGTCCGGATTTAGACTCTTATACTACTGTCTTGTCTCCGGACGAAGTAGATTATTTTTCTTATAATAAAAAACCAACACTAACCCCTGTCAAATCAGAATTTAAGACCAGTAATTGTCACTATTTAAATACTGAGACGTTAATTACAACTGAAGATCCTAAAATGATTGAAGCTACGTCGTCAGCTAATTTTCCAACACCAGAGAGCAGCAGGGAATCTACACCAGCTCTAAAGTTTGACTTTTCACAAAAATTCAACAATATTGACAGTATACAAACACCAGACATCATGGACACCCTCAATTTCGACTATGAGAGGGACTTCAACATTCTAAGTTACATCAATGATGAGGTAGGTTATTTATAAAATTTAAAATGTATTTTCTAAAACTATTTGAATGATAATTGTACTTGATCATAATATTGGTGTTGCTTTTCAGGACATTAAAGCAGTTGCAAATGATCTCTTTCCTGCTATCCAAGAGATTCCATCTGCTGTAACCACAATTCCTCAAGAACCATCAGAAAAATCAGAGTTGTCATACTCATCTTTATCGCCCGAGGAAACTCATACTTATGCTTTACCTCCAGAAGAAGAAGAGGAGAGGGAGTCAAGTAAAAAAATTTCTCGAAAGAGGCGGATGAAAAGGGATGATGACGATGACGAAGATTATGTCCCACCCTCTCACAAAAGAACATCACGTGGTGGTAAAGCAAAAAGGATGATGTTGGACATGGAGATAAATAGACATATTTTGGAAGAACTGAACAGTACAAAACGACGTGGTCGACCACCAAAGTCGAGAATCTCCTCCATATCATCAGATTCGTCAGAATATTTATTAATCGATACAGAAGAATCGAAATATCGTGAAATGCGCGACAAAAACAATGAGGCATCAAGAAGATCGAGGTTTAAAAGGAAACTGAAAGAAATGGCGGTCGAAAATGAGGCGGATGAATTGGCTGAGAAGAACATCAAACTCAAAGCACAAGTTGAAGAATTGGAAAAGACTGTTACGACCTTCAGAAGTAATTTAATGAAATTGCTAATGAATAAATAACATTATTACATTAAAGGCAGTTAATTACATCGTACATCATCCACTACTACTTTGCCTACCTGACTAGCTATTTGTTAATTTTAAGTTTTTAAGTTTAATGTTAAGTTTTGCATGTATGTATGTTGTACCAACAGGGGCGTGTTTACTATAATCGTTTTAAATATGTTAATTTGGCATGTTACGTACTATAATTTTGTTTAAATTATTATTTGTAAGGAGCAACTGTGATTTTGTATTTTTTTCTATACACAGTTTGAATATCTATCTTTGGTATTTGTAAGTTCTATTACAATTTTTATGTAAGAGAAATGTTATTACTACTTGATCATGAAAAAATTAAATAAACTTATTGAAATCTTATCTCATGTTTTACTATTTTTATAAAACCATTGCAGTACCCTTAAAAACTAATAAGGTCTAATGAAATGTGAACGAATAACTTTCAAGTTGTAAAGTAAAAAGTGTTTTGAAAACAGTCTGTCGAAGAGGAGAATTTACAGCAAACCGAACTGTAAAGTTTTACTTAGTTATGGCCTTAATTTTCCCAATTTTTCGGTAATAACTGCTTACGTTTCCTAGAGAAAATTGAAGCAATAAGACAATACATAATAAAATGCAACTCTATAATTTGTCGAAAACAATTGCAAAGTCCAACGAAGCAAGTTACATGAAGGCAAAAGTATACATTTTGGTGGATGTTAATTAGGAAGGTGATTAAGAATTACATCACGTAGTAGGTCTTATTGGACCCTTTGAGCAATCCAGCTTGAAGATCCTATTCTGTTAAAACCTACTTTTTCAAAAAAAATAACCTAGCCATTGAGATAAAAAGAGTACCTAATGTAACTGTATGGGAGGTAATAAATTATTCTCCCACACTTCAATATACAACAATAATAGTAATTACTCTTTCCTGCTGCTTTTATAGAGGAGAGAGGAGGACAAAAATAGGGTAGGGGGAGTTCAATACATTTTATAGCATATTCCTACGAAGTGCTATATTAAAATTAAAATTAGACAGTTAAAATCTTTCGGGTAATCGTATATAATTTAACGTTAAATAATTTATATCAAAAATTAAATACTTATAAATAACTACCTGTTGCAATCAGTAGCCAGCTTCACATTTTCTTAAATAAACTCTAACACAGATAACACCGGTAGTCTATGAATACTAGAGAACCTTATTTATAGTTCCAAAAACGAGATTTTAAAAAAAAACGATCACTTACACCATTAGTACAGTTTTCACGCTAAAACGTTACCCGCCACGGAGAGTTACTGGAAAAAGTAAGTTGCCGGAAGTGTCAATAATCAATATGACAACTGAATGTTCAAATTCTCTTGTTTAACAATGAATTATATTTATCCTAAAAATTGCCGTAAAAATATGTATAGAATAATTTAGTTGTAGTTTAATAATTTACTAAATAATTTATTAGATATAAACAAAATATAATTAAACATTAAGTATTTGTATTAACCAAATTCAAATATAACCAATGAACAAACCTTTACGCTTAGCCTCTTCCACCAATCAATTACTCGAAAAAAGTGCCAGCTATAGGCGTCAAATTTAAATATTTTAAAAACAAGATTTAAAATACAAATCCTGTTAATTGATTAATATAATAGTAAATATATATAATGTATTAA